GTAAAAAAATGAAGAGATTTTTTTAAAAAGGTTACAAGCAAGATTTTTAAGAAAAGGTTACTATGTAGATAACTTTCTATCCACCACTATAGGGTTGAATTGCGTATGTAAAGCATGCATAGCGTTAATAGTATTAACGTTATAAAGTATATTTATCACTTATATCATTACAGAATAACAGGAATCATAAATATGAAAACAGGTTTTGTAAATCTACGCGTGATTCTATTGTACAAAGGGGGGAAAATGCATAGTTTATTCTTTATGTCAAAAAAACGAGTTTTTTCCAGATTGATATTTAAAACCAAAAAAAAAAAAGGAATAAATATTTGGACCCAAGATTAGTAAGTTTATACATTTTTTCTTTATTCCCCTTGTGTTTTTAGACTTAATGATAAATCGAAAACAATTTATACAAGCAGTGCTTATTAGACTAGATCATACATTGTTATAAAAATTCGTTAAAATTTTCAGTTTTGCTATTGTTCTACATATATATAAGTCTTCAGGCTTGATCTATCCTTGCTTCAATCAATTTTTATTGTTTTTTTTTTTTTTAAAAAAAAAGAAAATCTAGAATATAAACTTTAGAAATTATTCGGATCAAAAATTTATATACATCAATACATTATTAGATCAAAAATTCACACTATAAAAAAGGACTTTAAAAACGCGTTTATTAAATTGATACTTTATTGACAAACGTTTTTTTTTTAAAGCAATTTAACGTAACTCTCGAAAACAACCAATACATCTCTTAAACGACAAACATGAATACAGCAACAGTCAACACCACGCCTTTAGAGAACGCCAACGGTTCTAATAATATCATTCATTTAAATAATAATTATACAGTAAATGAAAGGGATGTTGCAAGAATGGTTTATACCGGATTATATTCACGAAAAACGGCGACTCAAAGGCATGTTGTTGAAACGTATTTCGATGCTAATGCTGGTATACATAAATAAATAAGAATGTTTGATTGAAATTTTGACAAATATTAATAATATCTAACATATTTAACATATATTATTATGGGATAGTTTTCGAGAATCCAATCCTTACGGTGGAATCACATAACGAAATAATCAATCTCTTCCTATTAGTATCAACATTCTTTTTCGCCATAACACCGGAGATTCACAGTATCACCGATTCCATAGTAGCTGGTAATCATCACATAGTTTGTATCGACTCTATAATCAAGTACCGGCTTCCCTTACGATTTCCACCAATTCCATGTTTATTAAAATTATTTTTACGTGGAAATAATAATTTATTTTACATATGTAATAATGAAATTAGCTTGAGATGTATTTCTAAGTTTGAATTCAATGAACAACATAAAATTGTTAGACATGAAGATATTTGGAGTGTTAAAGATTTGGTAGAATCATTACCCATTGTTGGATGGCTATACGCAGATGTTGGTAGGAAAGCTACAGGATTGGTAACTAATGGATTGGTTGGTTTGATACAGGAATTGGCTAAAGCTTGGAACAATTTAGAGATTTAAAATTTTATGTATGTTTTTTTATGTATGTTTTGATTGTATTTCTTTATAGACGAAAGTTGATATATATGTTATTAGAATTGTTTTATATATTACTGTTATATTATTTTATATATTACTGTTATTATTACAATTTATTTAGAGGCTTTTTTTTTTTCTTTTTTTTTTTTTTTATAAATAAAAAATATATCTAATTTTATATATTATTATTTTTTTTTGGTTTACATATTTTTTTATACAAAATAATTTAAGAGTTTCTTTTGATATGAAAATTTAAGGAATGCAGTTAACTGCGTTAATATTAATTAATTATCAAATTTTCAGCAGTAAATGTTCCTTGACGATAGTATTATCAATAAAGCATAAAAAGCAAACAATTTAAAAATAGTAATTGGTATATAACGCATTTTTCATACGTATGCATTAATAGACCTTGATTAAGGATGCTTAAATAAGGGATAAACATATATTGTACATACGTATACTGTTTTAATGCTTTAAAAAAAAAAGTTAAACATATCAAATTAATTATAACGATGAATTTGACCTATTTGAAATATATTACTAGTATTAAGTAGTTAAAATACTTATTAAAAAGATTTAACAAACTGTAAAAGATTTATGAATCGAATAATTTTACTTATCTATAAATTCGTGTATTTATCTATTCAGCTAAATCAATGTCGAATCAACTTTTTTATTGGCAGCGAATTATTAAAATTTCCGACATGTAAATATCTAACCTTGAGAACTTACTAGTCAATTCAATTTTTGACCAAGTCAAATTTACTAGAATCGGACCCGGTCCTTGGAGTCGACTCATGATGAATACATTGGTCCTTAAAAGGTCAGTAAAGATCAAATCTGAAATCAAGGAGTTTTAGTGAGGTTGGACTAGTTCCTGAACTAGTCTTATCAGTATTGGAACAATCTTGAAAAGTATTATTCATGTGGTTCTTAAGAACTCTGCTCATAACGATAAATAGTTATTAGTCAGACTCAGGCCGAGATTCGTCAATTTAATATTTGGATCAACTTCTGATCGACTGACATGATTTTTTTTGGTCGGACCGGACAGGACTTTTAACATCCCTGATTATTGGAATCTTGTCAATCAAAACTGACAATCGATAACCAACAGACCAAAGTCTGTGTACTATAGAATAAAATTGTAATTACATTAAATTATCTTGGTAATATATTGGGTCGTTAGATATTGGTACATATAAGGTTTGGGATAATACTATTGCCGGGAAACTAGTATCTGCGATCACGACCTCAGTAGATCATGTGATACAACTAACTGTATATATATAATTATATATTAGAATCAGCTATTTTTGCAATTTCTTTAACTATATAAATGTGTAACTAATAGACTAAGAACTCACCAAAGAAAAGTATAAGCTAAATTCAGTAACACTAGCTATTTTTACTATTAACGACTGGTGATCAATAATTAGAATAATCGATAAAGTTGAATTATCCTGTTACACTTGATCGGATGAAATTTTTTTTTTTTTATACTATTTGGTAAATACCTGAAGTAAGTGTACCGACTGTTGCGTGTACCTGTTTTTATACATATATATATATATATATAATTTAAATAAAAATCGTGATTACTTTGGATATAAACCATCGTTGAGTACAGTATATTAATATTGTAAGAATCTAACACAGTAAAAATTTAAATAAATACATAACTTATATACCGTATTTTCATTTTTTTATCCAACACGGAGGAATCATAAAACTGAGTAAAAACCATTGTTGAAAAATTCTAATTACATTACTTACGTTGAATTAAATTAATAAACTTTATAAATTTATCAGTTATTGTATTTAAATAGTTCATAAAAAAAATCGATTTGCTAGATATTTCGGCGAGATTAAAATTTCTACAAATTTCTTTTGCACGTGATGAATTGTTCACCAACATCTATATCGATATTGATATTACAAATCATATCTATTTTAAATGCAAAATGATTCTTGAGAATTGTAACGACTTTTTTCCTCGAGAATTACAATGACTTTCTCTTTTGGAAAGTTTTAAATGCGCAAAAAAAAAGTCTTGCATATTCTCTTTTCAATTATTTTCAAATGTTGAAATATTAATAATAAAAATTCAGAACATGATATGATGCAATACAAAGTTTTTGTAACCCAAGTTGTTTTTTATTATAAAAACTTACTGGATGATTTTTATTAAAAATTAAACGGCTGGGCGGATAATCTCCTTCAGAATTCATATGAAAACTTCGAATGGCGTTGTACGACGATAAGCTATTTAGAACGTGAATACTACCGCTACTAACTCTAACGCTAATAAAAAAAACAAATTGAAGATCACGATTTTACTACATTTGTTTAGTATTGTTGAAAATTGAAATAATTAGATAATTCGTGTTACATCTTTCTGTGTGGATCTGCATTAATCTCGATATGAAAAATGTATAACGATAGTGAGATATTAGCGGTTAAATGAACCTATAAAAACCCATTCTTACATTTTTTGGGTTAATACACCGATGAATTATCAAGTCTAGGAAATCGGTGAGTTAATTTAAGTCATTATACAGTGAATATATGATGTAGTGAAATATATGAACAACAGGTCAAATTATGACAGGTCGTATATTAATGCTAGTGACATCATCCGTAATTTAAATAATTTGGTCAATACGTGTCGATATCGCTATTGATATCGATATTGATATCGATATTGATATCGATATTGATATCGAGGTCGAAGTGACTCATGTATACTTTTAAATCGCAAGTCACATAAGTTCTTTTCTCGCCTGCTTGTTTAATATAATTTACTGTAGTGTCGAATATAACTTTTGGATCAAGTTTGATGACAAAAACCAACCAACATTCAGTTAACGTTCAGCTCGAAATTTTTTTAAAAATATGGATTAATCTTTACATTAGTATTAGCCTTAATTATTGTATCGAAATTGGAGGTTTCATATAGTCAACTAAATTTTTTTGGCATTAATTCAGAGTGTAATAAACGATAAAATACATAAAATATCTCCTTACCTTTCATTCTTTTTTAAAAAATTAATTGAAATTATCATGAATGAATAAACGATTTATATGCAAATAGAAGATTTGATCAACAAAATTCAATGCATATATATGCCTTTGGACATATTTCCACAAAATAGAATTTCAATCAGAAAAAAAAAATTTATATCTACAGACTTCACTCATGACAGATAGTGATCTTATATTGGTTTGGCAAAACATGAGCTAGCTAAAAAAACCTAAATTGTGATTTTTAAATTGTTATTAAAATGATTTGATAAATTGTCTGGAATATGATGATTTCCTGTGCAAAAAGAAAGCTCTAAGCCAGAAAAAAAAAAAAACTGATCTAAATATACATCAAACAAATCGATTTTAAAATATGTTTTACCAATTATTGCATCGATTGCATCGTGTTCATCTAGAGAGAAAAAAAAATAAAAACCTATGTCCACGACAAATTCTCATTTTTCCTCTCATAAAAACCTGGTTTTTTATCCCATCCCCCATCACTTTTTTCCCTATGTTCATCCCAAGTTATCAATTCATTCGGTTCGTCGTCAATCATATTTTTATCCTTAACCGATTCTTTTTGAACAAGATCTCTGTACATTAAATCAACTATTTCTTGTTTATGTTCGATTTCTTTCATCCGTTGATCATGAAGCGCTGAACTAATTTTTTTATGTCGTTGTTCAAGCTCTTTTAACGTTTGTTCGTTAAGTTCGATCACTTGATCGGTAATTTGAATATATTCCTGAAGTTTTTCACCGTCTATTCGGTGACTTGATTCTAATTCTCGACAATTAGTCAAAAGTGTATCGTAATCCTGGACTTTATAATATCAAATTAAAATTGTTAATTAATATTATTTAAAAAATAATTAAAATAAATACTATATATTTCTATATATAAAATAAATAAAAATCAATAAAAACTTAGGATTTAGTTCTTATATATGCTGCATTTTTAAATGTATAAATTTTTTTCAAAATATAGAACAATTACAGTTTTAA